ACCTGTCATAAACATATACCTTATATGCACTCTTTAGGCCTAAGCTTAGCTTTATGACTAATTTTACAAGCGGTCACATTCCATGTTGAGATTATTCTGCACTGAGATTAGCTGTGGGCCTACGAACGTCTACCTAGTTGGAAGCTTTCTCAAACTTGAAAATTCAAAGAGAGGCACCACAACTTTAAAACAAAATATGCTTATGGCGTATCTTTCGTCGGTCCCCTAATTTTTGTAGGTTTGAGGCACAGTGCTCAATGTGCGTACCAGATAAAACGGCCTCGTCAAAACCGGGCAAGAGAGGCGAGCAGAAGTAATGGGCAGGGCGCGGAGGATAGCTTAACAAGTCTCCATAACAACATGATTGCTGTAGCTGATTTCTTCCCGTATGGAATATTGCATTGGCTTTGGGTGACCCCTGTGTACTCTGTGCCGTCTAGTCATTGCACGTATTCGTTTTGTCGTGTTCGGTGGAACGTTGCTTTGATTAAAATCAAGTCTGGGATCATGTGTATTCGGACAGGTGCGTCGCTCATGCTCTATGAAAATCTATACTCCTATTCAAATTCTCACTAGCGCAAAAATGAGCTTTCTTCCATATTGCAACTACATACAGAAGAAGTTTCTTAAAGGGAGGGGTGGAAGTCAAAATAGCAATTAACGAGTATTCAAGTAAAAAGAAAAATTGAACTAACAGAAATAGATTAAAATGCAAAAAGCCATAAAGTGGGAAAAGAAAGCAAAACCAAAGCTAGTAGAAAAAGCAATGGAAAATAAACTTTACAGGTAATCAATTAACATTACCAGCCAACCGACCCGAACCAGCAAAATGAACAAATTAACATTGACCGACTGATAGATCGAATGACCAAGCAGCCTTAACCAAATCAAAGCGTCAGGGTTTTTCCCGAAAGATCTCTGTGGAAGGGTGCCGACATTGCTTGATATATTAATAAGTTCCCCAAGCTTCTCCCCCTAGAGGACAGGCACCACATATCATGCCTATGGCGCGACAGCAGACCCAAGGGTCGGGGAGGCATTCATTACACTTCGGTAATTGGGTTGTCGTCTCTTGAACTGAAACATTGCCGTCATCTTGCCACATCGTTCCCTCCATGGAAAATAATCTGATAACCTTAAGCTCAATGAGACGTCGTTATCCTTCATTGTCACACTGTAATTACCGGGCTGGCGATATTAAAGTTGGTTTGTGCTTTGACTGATCGGTTTAGTCAGTTGTTTCAGTCTGATTCTGTTCGCAGTCGTAAATGTCCTTATATTTATCTGCATTCATGGCCATAGATATGGGTGCTTTGTGGCAAAACCCATCATCGTTGGGATCGAAGTCTTTCTGTATTATTTTAAGAAGAAACTAGTGTGCTCCCCTTTAGAAATATCCTCATAATTAATTCATTTACGCTGCTAGTTTTAAACGGTCTATCAAATAAAGACATCTTGAAATTGCAGTGCTTGACTGTTTTCATGAATGCGCTTATGCATCATAAGGTTAGGGATAGGAGTTATTTTAATTGCTAACTTTTGGCCAATGAGAGCATCAATTAACATTCAGCCACCAAATTTTCCCTCGCACACACTTTGACGTCGGAGGAAAATGCTGGGGTCGAATCCTGTGGTGGCTGGCAATAGTACATGTGCCAATAGGAACCACTTCTCAGTGGATGCTGCCACTTCCCGCAGATGCACGTGTTAATCTCAGCATGATCCCAGCCGTAGCCAAATAAGCCAAGTAAACCTGCATATACTGAAACAAATGGCCGTGAGCACCTGCAACCACCGATGGCCGACGCGGCCTATCTCCCTGCTACACTCTAAATTCCAAAGAGTGAGAATTTACTCTATTCGAGTGAAAATTCAATCCCTCCGATTGAAATTAAGGACCAAACGAAATGGAGCAAAATTTTTTGTCTCTCTTATGGTTGCTTTGGTAGCAGATTGCTTCCAAAGACACTTAGAAATGACTCAAAAACGACACGATAGAGATGGTTTATTGAAATACTAAAGGACACATCCAAGATATAAGGCATGGGCTATGTGTATTCTCTCGGTCACTCGCGTCTGGGCAAAGGGGCAATCCTCCGTTCACTTTGTACAGGGATTTGCATGTTTTCCACATTTTTTGCTGCAATGTGATAAAAAATAACTGTAAACTTTTTCGGCACAGTGTGGTAGATATTCATAGTGTATAACCAGTGAAATTTCAGGTATATTTGATGTAAAGAGTTTAGTCGATAATTCAGATTTTCCCCATAGACCACATTACTATTTTTAACCCTGAGTCCAAAGTGTGAAATATGGAACAGCCACCAACTGACCAATCAGAGAGAAGTACCAAGGATCAGTGATGTCATCCTGACTGTGAGGGGTGCAGACCACTAATTCAAGTGAGGATTTCTGGCCAGCTCATTAGCATTAAAAGTGCCCCCACAGTATCTTTTGAAAAAAGAGATTGTTTGAGCTTTCATATGAGNAAAAATGGCTGCAATCAGACTTTGGAAAAATTATTTGTTGGGGGGTGATTTTGTTTTGTGGGAATAATTAAAAATTTAATTGGCTAACTTACAAAAAATTGAAAAGAAATTGAAAGCTAAGTGACTAGACAAGAATTTCAGTTGTATTTCAGAAATCTCAGGGATGTTGGCACACATGTTATTGGGCCCTGAACAGTGATGATTTTACACTATTTTCAATGGGGCTTGAATTAGTGGACTGGACCCTCAGAATGGAAATGACTTAGGCTAGCCCCAGACTGGAGCCAGTACTAGATGATGGCCCCAGTCATGACTCGACTAGCAGAAGCATGATATCCAAAGACCAAGCGAAGACTACGCAAGACAATTTGAGTTGAGTTCATGTGGGCCTAGATACATGTACATGTACATGTACGTGGGAATGTTGGCCCAGGGATCCACATGACTTTGTGTGCGTCAGCTTCAAATAATTTTATGGGAATCTTCAGGTTGTGCACCCAGCAATACCAGTGAGTAGTTTGAAGTTGACGTGTATAAACAGGACCGCCTTGCCCAGGTCTGACGACTCTTCATCACATTGTGACCAACCTCATATACAAAAATTAAAGAAATGTGTGTGTTTGAGGCTGTTACAAGAAATTTTTCACATCACCGCCTGCCCCAATTTTCATGCCTGTCCTGATATTTGTTTAATATTTTACCTTTTTTTAGTGGCTCCCCTCCCAAATGCATTTTCCAGATAAACATCTGACTATTCACGAGACACAGTCATATCGTGTTCTAATGAAATGATTTGTGTGCGCAACTTAAAACCATGCAGCCACCTTTACTGTAATACCGATACATGATGTGTGCCAGGAGCATGGTATAGCTGTCATGGCTCCTGAATTATAAATGATGACGTCTCCCATATTAGCATAATAAATCATATGATGTGTCATAAACAGCAGCAGACAGCCATTCAGTCATCTGCCGCTAATTTAGTTTTTGAAATATGACCAAAATCTGTATCACCCAACAAACAGACATTGCAGACTTCAATTCACTTTGGATGTGACAAAGTTGAATTTATGAAATATAAATTTCCCTGTCAGTTAAATTTGTTCCTGACTGAGTGATGTGACCCCCCATTAATTTTAAATGGCTTAATCATTGGAAGGCTTCACCAAGAATTCAGAACCGTTTTGTCAACTCTGGCTCAATTTCTTCAGCTCTTGTTTTGTCTGCAGTGCTGTTACTTCAAGTGCGAATCTTGAGAAGACGGTGCTGGAATTTTAGATGACATTCGTTTAACCCATTTCTCAACTCACTAACTCCTGGGCACATGCTCTTTTTTGTTGACGCGCCTTGTATGGGAGCAGGTGTTTGGGGCTGTCAGACAAAATATCATGGTTGACTTACTTAGGATGAATTAAGAACACTGACCTGTATTATGCAAAGGTTAGCTCACAGAAAACAAGAGTTACATGCAGATATCAAGAAATCAGAATCATATTGGGGTTTGTAAGAGTTTACAGCAAAGGACTAAAGTGATTTACATGTAATTGTGTTTGACATAATTTTTTTGCAGGTTTGATACGACATTTCTGCCCACTCAGGATTTACATATAAATGGAGTTTAAATCATTTAAACTAGTTCTTAAAAATCAAATCTATTGCCCTGTTAACACAATTTGACATGAATTGTACTCTATTTAGCATCTTTAGAATAAAACTGAATTGATTATGCAACTGACTTAATTTTCTGAGGTTTGGGACATGAAAAATCCAATGTACAAAAAAGAAATATAAACGTCTAATTTGGGCACTTTTCTTACCACAAGTCATGGCTTAATGAAGAGTTTTATTAAGCAACTGTATTACCAGCTGAGATCTCTTATTGAGAACAGAGGCTATGTGGCTTGCTCTAAAAAGCTGGTAACATATTGATGGGGGGGGGTTCACACTGGTCTCAGATCTGTCATTAACTATTCACTTGCCTTACTGAGTGATAGATTCAAGATTTTTTTCATGAGGAATGTAGATGGCTAATGTGTTGTATGGCCACTCTTCATATAGAGAGGGTGAGAGTCTTATATGTCGTCAACTGAAATTTGCAGTATGGTGTTACATTATTATTACAAGGCCAAGTACAAAAAAATGAAATAATTCCTTTGTCCCTAGCTTCTATTTTCATCCTGACCTATTTTCCACTTTTTTCCTTCTTTGTCTCTCTGTGTGTAAAATTTGCAACAAATTTGACTTTTATTTATTTCACGTAGTAATTGCAAGTTCCAAACCAGCCTTGCAGACTTAATGGTCCCTCAGACAAAAGAATCAAGAAAATGCATCACATCATCTTGGAAAAATGTTTCACCCCTCCTGAGAATCTGTTTTATATTTTTACATGACTAAATATGTGAGAAATTACTATAAATCAGTTGGAAGGGGAATGCTTATAACTTTTTATTCCTTGCCTTCTTTAAACTGCTATTCTGTCAAATATTCTCTTTTTTCTTTTCAAATCTGCAGCTGATCACCTATTTTTGCATCAGTATGGCATCCTATGCAATTTACGTAATAGACACCGGCAAGTAAGTATTTTTTGAATTTCCCTTCTATGTCACCCTAACTCTTTCAATTTTGAAAGTGCACTTTTAATTTCAATTCCTGACTTGATATTTTAAACAGTAATTTGTGTTGTTCATTTGGTTTATTTGTTTCCAACTCTTTCTGTTCTCACTTATTTAATTGAGGTTCACCTTGACCTCAGGATCTCTATATAAATTTTCACAGATAGGAACAGGCAGAGTTATAGACCACAGAGTGGACATTGCTTGTTTTCAATGCACAAGTCATGCCATTTATCAGAAAGTGTCTGCTAATGGCCATATGGGCCAGTCAGACATGATCGCTTGTGAAGCCCGTTCACGCTTGGCTGGCCAAGTCCATCATCAGTCCATTGGGTAGCCAAACCGTAGACTCACAGTCAGATCCAGTCAATGCAGTAGTCGGGCTTGTGCTCAATAGACCTTGCAGAGTAAAGATGCAGCGGTTCCTTGTTAAATAATGGGCGACAACATTAAGAGTGGTAAAGGCAGCAAATTGATCAAAACCACCAGGAATCTGAGTAGCGAGCTGAGAGTTTAGTCAGGTCTATCACAATTAAAATAACAAGTGCATTTGTGAACCCAGAGCAAGGGTAATGGGCCATCCCCCCTAAAAAAACACACGTACTTTTTTGAAATGTTATAAGAGAAAGGTGTTTTTTTTTAAATTTTAATTTCCCCTCTCATAAAAAAACATATTTCCACAATTTTTAGCAAAAACAAAAAATCACCTTTTCAGGGGTCTGGATGAATTTGAATTTCTTGCCTTTTGAAGAGTGAAGTGTGAGTGACCTGTGGTTTAATTGGACTTGAGAGGTCTCATCTACAATCAGCACGTGTCTGATCATTTTAAGATCAATTGTCAAACAGTTTATAAATAGAAAATGCACACAGGATGCTATTTTTATCCTGCACTGAGGCATGTGAATTGGCTATCGACAAATACATGCTTTGTCGTGGTTTTTCTGGGCTTTCCCACAAAGTGACCTTGAATATTCCAACCACTCTTTCGGACTGTGGATGAGAATGTGTACGTATCTTTAATAATAAAAAAATCAGAACTTAGGTTTTTGAGTTCTTTAAGTACAGTCATGGTCAGTCAAAGTTCATTTTAGATCCCGCTTTTAAGCCAAGGTGTAATTGCTTGTAAACATATTTGTTCACTTGCATACTCTTCGCTGTCTAAAAATATTAATTCTGAACAGGATTCCAAAATACGGCCGGGCAAGTCTGTAGTTGTGAGTAGTTATGAGCTACCCATCCCCGAATATTTTTCCTGTGAAATTTACTAAATGTCTACTGGGACTGCCATTCAGGAAAATAGCCTTGTGACCCCCAAAATGACATATTTCCCATAAAGAGACTTGCATGTACTGCGATACCTCAACTGCAAAAAACCCACAAACAAAACAAGCCTTTTCAGGACAGTACTTTAGATCTACTGTGTGGATCCAATCAAGCATGTGCCAGAGAAATTGTCTCTCATTCTTGATACACTGTTTGTGTACCAGTGACACTGCAGATGGAGGAATGGAATTTGTGCACACTTCAGTTTAGACATGTTGATGAGAACAACAGCTGCCATTATTCCCTAATAGGTGTGTTTGTGGTTGTTGGTCTCTCACTGCGTAAAAAATAATTGTCACAATGTTTGGGAAACTCCAACAACACATAGGCCTAAATATTTATTGTTGTTAATAGCAGTGAATGCATGCTTTCAGTTTACAGGACTGTTTGACTCTCATGTGCAATATTCCTGTTTTGTTAGAAAATGTAAAGCCCGGGTCATACCGAAAGTAGTTTTATTATAATGATCGTTCTTTTTTGAATAAAGCTAATTGAGATTCCTTGGGTCACTGCACTTTATTGTTCAAGTCTTGAAGAAACTGAAAACCGTCAGGTTTATTGGAAGACAACTCAGGGGAAAACCCACGGTATCGGCTGGGGATGGAAAGTATGATCCGAACATCAGCATTGGTGCGAATTTAAACCACAGACATAGAAAGCATGGTCTATGTACTCATCACCCCTGGCTGTGCACTCCTGAAGTAAATTCATTGTAATTACAAAGAGCGTCACAGCGCCGTCACACCACTCTTGTTCATTGCATGTCTACAAATGTTTATACCAGAAAGCTCCTTGATTTCTCTTTACAGTAGTTGATGAAAATATAAACTGTGGACATGTACAGGTATAAATACATATACCTAGTGTGTCAGGACTGTTTGCTCTAATTCAATTTGTATTGGGTTTCCTATGTGTATCAGCTAGGAATTCATAGTCTCTGTCTTGGTTCTCAAACAGAAATATATCTGGATCACTTGTGTCAAACTTTGCTGTAACAATATAAACTGTCACTCCAGGGACTATGTACATTCATATCTTTTGTTAGGATGATTGGGTAAACATTCAGGACTTGACGAACAATACTGAAAGGAATGCCTTTGTCCACAGAGTAGTCAATGGAAGTTGTCAAATTTGTTTTGGTAGTTAGGCACACTCCATACAGAAACTGTGTTCCTGAAGTACTTGTACATGTAAACGGACCTACCAGTAGACATCCCTTGTGGGTTCAGAGCCTCATTAGAAGATAACGCTTCCTGAATATACAGGGTCCATCACCAGTTAACTGATAAATTCAATAAAATAAATTGCCCTGTTGTTTGAGCCATTGCAGGCTGTGTAATGTCATAGCTACATGTGTATGCTATCCTCAAGCATCGTGGTTGGAAAATATACAGAATGCTGAATATCAACACCAAAAATCAAAAAAGAAAGAACATAAGATGACCATTTTGGGGTATTACAAGATGACTTTAAATGGCCTCCTTAGTATAATGGTCCTAAATATGTAATGTGTGAGCTCCCAGAATTGATTGATGGCTTGCTTTGCTCACTTGCAATGTCTCTAAAGGTGTTGGGAGTGTATCAAAACTTGAGAAACCAAATTAGGGCTCATTAGGTCAGAGGCCGCTCATTATTTGATTGATTGATTGACAAATTTTGCTAATTGCTAATCCGGATTTAATTACATTTGAGCAAGCCAGAGGAGTGGAGCCCGAAGGTCATAGAGTCGGTGTTGTGTTGAGATGTTTGGGTACAGCCGTGTGCCTGATGAAAAACGATTAATATGCACGGTGTTATTGCTTTCAATTAGTACTGCTCTTTTTTTCAATACCCACTTTATATGTGTGGTTGTATAAATCACTTAAACTCAGTCGAATCATTGTTTTCTAGTCCATTTTATTTTTAAGCCATTAGAATGTTTGATTGCTGCTTGAAAATTTCTGTTTACACTGATTCCATATGGAGTTGATGACAGAGAGTTGATTGATTACATGTAGTAGGCCTAATGAAATTTTTTCAAATATCCCAACCCTGTTTGGTTCATCTACTTTTTCATTTGATTTCCCTCAACTGTTTTTCGTGTAAACTTTTTATTTGCATTTCATTCTGTAAAATGCAATGATCAGTAATGGAATTGCACAATATAAGCACTTGCATTATTATTATTTTTTTAACTATTATCTTGTGGAACACAAATTTACATCAGGGATTTGGTCATACATATATATCTGCATTACTTGAAGTAATAAACGTGTCAAAACAAACAGCCAAACAAAAACAAACAAACAAACAAACAAACAAACACACACCCCGCCCTAAAAAAAGTAAAAGAAAAACAACAACCCAAACAAACAGGCAAGAAAGGATTTTTTGAGCACTGTTCATATAAATTTTATGTAAAACTATTCAAATTCTGTCTCTGTCATATAGCATGGAGTTCAGTCCAGTAGACACACATGCATAGTTGTGATCATTGATGACCTGTCTTACATTCTGTTGTCCCCTTCCTGACAACAACGAAAATTACCAGGAAATAAAACTTTAGACTGACATCTGTGAAATTTGAGCATCACTATAGACTTGTGTTCTTGATTTTTTTTTAGAGACTCCAAGTGAAGCCTTAGTGAAGAATTGCCATGAATTCTTTATTTTACCGACCCTAATTTGGAAATGTTTTTAAGCAAAATTTTGCAAGGTACAATTTGTTTGTTACTACCTGTTAATTGCAACATCTTGGCTCCACAACATTAATTAGTTTTGCCTTTTATTCTTCCCTGTCAGACCCATCGAACGATGTTTGCCAGCAGATCGAGGAGACCTATTGTTTTTTATCGACAACATTTTTAACTTCTTCTTTCTTGGTGTGTTTATATTCAGGGTAAGTGAACTATCTGTATTCTCTGTGAGGACAACCCCAGCCCAGCTATGGTGCGCCCCCTAATCGCTACCCCTAGAACTCTAGGAGTTTGTTGTCCACCTTGTTCCCACAGACAACAAACCTTAGAGTTCTAGAGGTGCACTAATCCCCACAAACCTCATCCCATCCACTATCAAAACATGCTCTTTTGTTGTTTATCAAAGTCAATCATTTTGCATTGTGGTTTAGAGGATGATATGCTTTTAATAGAGTAAAAACAAACTGACTTCCCACCATAGATATGGATTCGTTTTCTTTTTTTTTTCTGATCCATTCAAGAAAAGAATGCATGGCTGATTCTGCTGCCTCTGAAACAGACAATGGACATATCAGCAGGATTTGTAACTTTTCACTGTTTTTGAACAAACTGAATACAATTCTGTATATTAAACTTAAAATGCAGCTGACACAACTCAGCGTCTGCTTATTTCTCCGAATGGAATGTCAGTGGATTGAAATTTGCCGCGGCGGATGACAAATGCATCCTTTATAGATCAGTGTTGTAGTTAGTAGACAGTCAGAAAGACCCTGTCAGACCTTCGCAAGACCAACACTGCCAGTCTGAATTCAAGTCACAAGCTATTCAAATGAACTGCCACACAAGTTTCCATTTGCCGTTGTTCGCCTTGTTATTTTATTTGTGAGTGCATATCGTGAATGGTCATGTGACGATCTTGACCACAATGCTGTCGAGCCTCAAAATTGGCTGACTCCCTAATGAAGTGAAATGTGGATTGGATTGGTATGCGTTGGTGATGATGGCAAACCTACAGCAATGTAATTAACCACCATGGTTAACTAATTGCGTTTCCGGTGGTATTCATTATGCAAGGTCCTTTTATTTTCATTCACGTAATTGGTAGAGTAATTAGTGAATTAATTGCTGCATTTATGTGGACTTTAGTGGTGCTGTTGCAGTGTTTATTGCTGTATATCGCAATTTAGTGTATACATGTCAACAATGTGGTTTTCTTTGGCCCAGGGCCAATACATATAAAGTAGTTACATGCTGTGGAAACATTTCATTATGCAAATTGCTCAACACCTGAGTGCCTTATAACTGAGTCTGTACATGAAAATGAAAATTCCAAAAATCAGTTTGTTTTTCCTTTTTTGTTTTTCCATTTAAACTTGAAGAACAAGAGAAGAGTTTTTTTTAACCTTCTCTTTTCTGTTCACTTTCTTCTAGTTAAGGGCAATATGACCCGTGTCAGCACATAAATACATGTACCTAGATCTTGTACTCTATGGTGCGCTTGGACATGGTGCCTTGTGGGGTACCGGAACAATGGAAGGTACCCCACAAGGCCAGTGTGGATCCTTGTGGGGTACTAAAGTGGTACCCCACAAGAACTTCACGAAAATTTCAAATTTACTCAAAAAGGAGGAATTTTCAAGTGCCATTCATATCATCTGTCGCAAATTGAAGTATTTCCATATATTGAAGGGACATACAGTCGAAATTTCAACCCAGGAAACTGAATTTGGTTAAAATGGCAGTGATTTGAAATTTTTTCCGTGTTGTGTGGGAGTTTTGTACACGGGAACAAAGGAAATACCCCACAAGTATGCATATGTAAGGGTGTGTGCGTTGGCATGGGGTTCATGTAGTGGGTGTGGTTAGTGAGCTCAGAATGTGAGAAAATTGCTTGTGGGTTATTCCTTCTTTACTTTGTATGTAAAGAATTCCTCATAATCCCCAATCTCAATCATTGCTAATTTGGCCAGCCAGTGCCTTTTTATCAAGAAACAATATTATTTTTCAGTGTTCAAAGTGTAAATTACATATATCCTTGTTTGTCATTTTCAGATTGCATTATGAAAAGCAACTCGTTTTTTGACTTTTCTTTATTTAAATTGAAAACGAATGAAATGTAAATGTATGAGGAGCCAACTGCTATGTTCATGTTTTCCCATATTGGTCAGTAATTACCTGTACTTGAAATACTTGTTTGCAGTTGGCAAACATAACTTAGACTCCATAAAACTGGCCCTTACCATGAAAGAGCTGATCTAGAACCATTTTTATTGGGGGGGGGACTTGTTTTATGGAGGGCCAAAAATTTGGAATTTTTTTCCAATTAACTTTTTTATAGGCCTTTCTGGCCTTTCGTGTTGAGTTTACGTGTTTTTGGCTTTTGTGCAGGCTTTCTGAAGGAAGGGGAAGAAATTAGACCAGATATTTTCATTTTCTCATCTTTCTAGGAAAAACTTGTTGGGGGGGCTGGGCTGTTGGCTCCTTAGGATCCAATATGGGTATCCTCTGAGTACATAGAAATTCACGTGGGAAAATTTAATTTTTTTTCACATCCTAGGCCTGAAGTGTATCCGTCCATTCTCTCATATGGACCTGTGAAGTTTCATATTCTAAAATTATGCATAGGTGGATGCAGCACGTAGCCGCTTTCATCAATTTAACACTTATTTAATGAGATGTCTCAGTGTGGAGAATTATGACCATTTTTAACATTCCTTCTTTCCCTTCACAGTTCATCAGCTGGAACGACAAGTTTTGGTTTTGGTTTTCGGTCAATACGCTGGTTGACATTTTCACCATTCCACCAACATTTGTTTCCCTCATTATCTCCAGGACATGGCTAGGTAAGTCTTCATGTTATACTCTTTCTTGGGAATTAAGTTGTTGTTTATCTGACACTTGAAGAATAAGGAATGGTGGTATAGACAGAGTAGGTTTGGATGGTTTAATTTGGTTCAAGAACATGTGGGATTGCAGTGATCACTTTCAACTTAAAGACTAGTTCTGTTACTAGGCCTTCATTTGTACAATCTGAGTTTCACTTCAAATGCTACCCACGGAAAGTGCACACAAAAGAAATGAACCCCATGGGGAACTGGCCAATGTATTACCAGTTCTGTTCGCGGCTTTTTGGCAAGACGAAAATGTCACAACCGCTTTGTGATTTTCTTTTTCTGATAAGTGTCTTAAAGACAGAGGCATCGAGAGAAGTCCCAAAGATTCATATAAATCAAAGTTATGGCCAGGCTGACAAGTACATATAAAAGTACATGAAACATATACATGTCTATATCCACGAAATTGGAAAATTTGTCTTAAAACCGGCAGCATACTTGATGTAAACACCAGTGTCATTAATCAATGTGAAGGTATTTTGGTCTCTTGTGGGATGCAGCATTTCAGTGATTCTCTGCAGATGGTTTGAGACTTGAGCTACACATGTTCAGATTAGAATAGAGAAAACACCTGGTTCATCATGTGCTTTGAAACACAAAACGTTGTAGGGAGGTATGGGTGTGTGATTTTCTTGAGGGAAACAAAATCATTTCAGAGATGAGTTTCTCAACTTGTGAAAATCCTGGAGACAATTTTGAACAGTACACACCGGTACTGTCAAAAGAATTGATGTCCCATTTGTTTTTATAGTCTTGCATGTGTTTCTTTGTTGAAATATTCAATTTTGGTATCTGTGATTGTTTTTAGAGGGGGAGGACTAGTAGGCCAAATGTGTCTTCTTTTTTGGCATTTTTGAAAATCTGACCCCGTTTACAAATGAAGTAAGTACAAGGCAAATAATGCTAACCCTGACTGTGCACATTGTATTCAGTGGCATAAAACCTTGCCAATGAAAGAAAGATCGGAGGGGGACAAAATCCTAAAACTACCTGGCTGAGGAGTCTTGGGGGGGGGACTTCGCACCAATGTTAAAAGGAAACAGTACTTTTCATGCTGTCTTTGTGCCATTTATTTTCTGTATTCATTTCTATTTGTGAAAATTTGACTGTTGATACAAACTTTAAAAATTGACTTAGTGGCGTACTGTCCCTTCTAAAACATAGGCCATTTGTAGACGTATGTGCCCAAAATTGTAGAGGGTTGTACATGTATAAACATTGTAGATGAACAACAAACATTGTACATACAGAGACCTGAAACACAAGTGAGTGAAACCTTGAGACTGTAGAATACTGTCACAGTAAAGTGGTTAACGGAAAGATTGAGGCAAGATGGTACAATGATTAATTTTGCAAGAACGCCCTTGTGTATACCCTACAACAATTGCTTACTTTGCCGCCTTATTAATTTTTGTTTGTTTCATGACTCTCTCTGGGCATGCATCACAGAGTTCAGTTTACATGAACGGAGGCTGACACATCAGGGAATGGCGGAATTTGTTTATAGATGCTTTTTGGGCCAGTGGATAGATCAGAAAGTTGAAATAAATGGGCTCAGCCGTCAGAGCCGGAATCCCCTCTGTTTTGTTTCCTGGAGGATTCACGTCAGTGCCCCATCTTGAGGGAGATGGATTACACAGAGATAGATTCACTGAAAAGGACTGCCATACTGTGTACCTTAATGATGGCGTACATTGGAGATCTCTCTTATGGGTTCTTGGTGAAAGAGTACACAGTTGTCTGGTCCATTAATATCTTGCATACCCACAATTTGTACATGTACACTTGAGGAGAACATGTAACAAAGAAACAGGCAGGGACATAGTCATGATTGTAAGTTATCTGAGGGTCAGGCAAGAGGAAGTCAATTTTCCATGCAGTGTCATGCACCATTAGAGGATGGAATTATACTGCTTGTTCTAAATATCAGACAAAAGAACATGTGCTCAGTTTCTGCAAAATAAGACACTTGATGAGCGTTAAGTAAGAAAATCTAGCAACCAATCCGTACTCAAATACTAATACTTGTAGTAATAATGGGGTACTTTGGGTACAGATGAAAAAGAAAGGGCCGGACATGTTTGCAAACAGCTCATGCAACTTTGATGTTGGGCCTACATGTATGGTTAATCGTCAGGTTGGTGGAGGCAATTTTCTATTACATGTGCATGCAAGGCACCCTGTGAATATGATTTTGGTGTTCTAATGTACCTGTGCATATATAGATCATTCTTTTGCTACTTGTATGTCACAGTCATTTTGTGCCAGCCGTGTACTGGTTGATGAATGGCTAACCTCTATAAACCCTGAAGAATAATTCACATAGTGAATTGAAAAATCCCACACAGTAATCTGAACACTAAATCATGAGTTCAAGTTATGTGCATCTACAAAACTTCAAGTTGAACTGTCAAATTAAAACAAGGAACAAATGTGCATTTTGAGGTTAAACCATGGTTAAACTTGCCGCAGACGTTGGTCATCTGTATGCAAAAACTGGTCAATGTCTGGCAACTAAAGAAGTTGCATACAACTACACTTTTCTGCGACTTTTAGCTAGGTTTTCTGTTTTCGTGTTTAATTGCCACTGGTCAGGTTTGAGATGCTTGCGAATCATGATCCTGATGCAACTGCCCGAGATCCTGCAACTGCTGAGAGTGTTGCGGACCAGCAATGGCATCAAGTTGACCAGTTTGCTGACCATTGTGGCAGGGGCGTGGCTAACATCGGCGGGCATCTATCACTTGGTGAGTCTCGTCACCTGCTGGAGGTAGCGGAAAGCTTGCCTAGGTTCATCAATAGGAAAGTGTTATCTATAACCAAGAAATATATAGATCTCGAATTAAACTCAACTGAGTTCATTCAATTGGACTGCTGGACTTACTTCTAAGCAGTGTGATCAATTACTTGCCACGTCCTTCTCGACACCTTCATCAGAGGGATAGCTGGACGTGAGCAACCTGTGGTAATAATTGATTTCAGGTTACTCAGCATTGGGCTCTAACAACCAGACAAGTATTAGGCCCTGACAACTGGAAGGCAATTAAATTTGCAACATGAATTTGAACTGTCAAAAGAAACACACGTTTCTGGCCTGTATCACACAGAACACACTTGACTTGAGCCAGTTTGCAGCTACATTTGCAACACACTTTCTGAATGATACCTGAACTGTGAAATGACATTTCTATGCTAGGCAATCATATTTGGTTAATTGCATGAAGAAAATTAATTTTAATAGCGTAACTTGGTTATAAATGCCTTTGACGAATAAAAATGGAAAATTAAAACACTTGGTATCGGCATCCTGATGATGGATAGTATTAACTATCCTAAAGGTTGAGTACACTGCGTCTTTCCAGAACCTTACTCTCAAAAGAGATTTCACTGGTTCTATTGCAAACCTTTGTCTTGTTGTTTCCACTATGCAGACCTGCAAATCACATTTGTGGCCTGTTATGACAAAATGAGAGTAAAGTCACATCTCGATCTTTCCTATTTTGAGGGTTCAAAGTCATATTGAAGTGGAGGTCAATTTTGAGGTTTTGTTATATTTGGAAAGAGTAACCTGTCTCCTATTTAATTCCAAATATTTCACAAGATCAGAAATTTAAAACTGTCATGTTCTCAGTAGTTTTGACAATAGCATTATTTGTGCCTGGTCTGAAATTATGAAAAATATGCCGGAACCAAAGATGCAAGCTGCCAGAATGTCACATTGTCACCTGATACTTTTACCCTAAGTGTTCCATGTATAAACCACTACAAAGCTCTTTTTCTGCTGAATTAAAAAATACCAATATCTAAATTTTTGAAACCTCTAACTTTCAGCTCATTTTGTGGTGACAGGTCACATTTAATCACTGTCAAAGTTTATTGTATTCTTAGGTTGAGAATTCAGGAGATCCATGGATTAACTTCAACAACTCCCAGTCCCTGACCTATGGACAGTGCATCTACATCACGGTGGTTACAATGTCGACAGTGGGCTACGGGGATCTGACCCCCAAGACCACTTGTGGCACCATCTTCATCATCTTTTTCATCCTTGGAGTCTTGGTGAGACATTCCAGCTCGTCTAGTGGGGCGGGAGGGGGCAATTTGCCTGGAGAAATGTTGCCTTTTTTGTGAATTAAAAGCACCAGCATTTCAGAAATGGTAGGCCCTACTACCACCTTTCCTTGGGGGAAGGATTTTGGACAGTTGTTTCTGGGAAAATAAGATTGATTTTGTTCCCTGGACCTGAGAACCAGATGCCACAGAATACACTTTAAAAACTTATTAAAGAGAACAAATTATGCACTCACAGTTGGGCAGGAATGAAATTAAATCTGGGCAAGGTTTCACTATGTGCATTTTCCTTTCATTTGAAAAATAAAGGAATTTACAACCTACAATTGTAAATTGTAGATTATATATATGTGTCCAAAACTTTGGCACCATCTGTTGACATCATTTAAGTTGTTATAGAAAGCAAACTTGAATCTAAATATCGGTCACATCAGAAGTTCTGGGGTCATTGCCTCCCAAGTCTGCCAGCCCCCTCCATGTCTTTCTCAATAAAAATAAAAAAAAATAGGCTGCAACATTTTCCTTCTGGTTAAAAAGCTGTAAAGAAGTGTGAAAAATCATGCTTAAGATTTATTTATAACATTCATCTAAATTGGAGAGCTGCACTTTATAAAAAAGATATCGAGTACATCTGGCCAGATCTAGCATTTAAGATGCAGACAAACAGCAGCATTCTGCCACTATGAGGTCATCCTTCTCACGTAGCACTGTGGGTTACGACAGCAGCAGTCATAACGACATCATATCTGTCTTGACGTCATCCCTCCCCATCCCCAACCCCCCTATGCATCAACATTTCTTTAATATAGCCGTCCATTTCATCACCGTGCTGGTCTGGATCCCGCACTCTCTCCCCTTCTCCCCCTGTATATTAATCCAATCATCAATTTTGATTTCCCACAGGCCATCTTTGCCAGCGCCTTGCCAGAAATTGTGGAGATCGTTGGGAAGGGAAACAAGTATTCTGGTGTCTATGAACCCGTGAAGGGGAAAAAGTAGGTCACAAAAAATCAGAACTTCTTGAAGAGGTAGTCTCCAAGGGCCCAAGAAACCAAGGATGCGCATGAATTTGTCCGTCTTTTGATGAGTTTGTTTCGGTTCATTCCTATTCATTTCATGCCTTATTTTGCCCACTGCATAATAGTTTTTGAAAGATACAAAGTAAAAGTCAGTTATTTCTTCAGAAGTTTTTCTGCCCATTGTCTTCTTTCATTGAGAGCAATTTTTTTTAAATTTCTTTTGTTCAGAGGTCACTGAGCTCCTTTTTTTTTAGAATTAAATTTTCTGTCCAGGGTTTCACGTTTAGCAGCCAAAATGCACTTTGTAGCATAATTTTGCAATTTCTTACTCCAAAGGTCTCCTTTTGTCTTGAAGAGAATTAAATATTATTGGTGGTAACTATTGTCTTTTTTTTATATATGTTCCTTTTTGTCTGTTTGTGTGTTACTATTTGTTCCCTATTAAGGTCAGTTTGTGTATCTATTTACGCATGGCTTTCTGTCTCTCATTTTGTTGTCTTGAGGTTTTTTGACTGGTTCAGTCTTTTTTCCTTTCCATTTCTCTACAAGTCCCTTGTCTGCCCCTGTTAATATTTTTATACTGTCTGTATTGCAGTATCAGAGAAATAAATTCCCACCTATCTAAAGCATGTTTACTGCCCCAAAAGTTTAAATGTTCATATTGACTAAAAACGAAAGACCATTGTAAATAAATGAAATCATTAATCTTTGTTTTGTGCATTTAGTTTTATTGTGGACATACTTTATGTATCTTTGAGATTTTTGTCATTGTTCAGTATCAGTTAAAAAACTACCTTGTTTGCCCAGGTTTAGCATACCTACATTGGTTTTTTTAAATATCCGTAGCTATTTCTCTTTTACCAATTGTCCGTCGTTGTGTCCATTAGTAATTAGCTGTTGGACTTTTTATTGCATTCGCATCTTTCCACTAGACTGCCTACAAATGGTTTTCTCTCAATGTTTTTCAGGTCCTTTCATTTCAGTTCGTCTTTCCCCTCTTTCTGCACTGATATCGCTTCTCCCCACTCGTAAATCCCATTCCTCCACAGTTTTGTGCCCAGGGCGTTCGGTCTTAAGGGAGCTCTAAGACTCGGCCTTTACCTTTTCGCAAGTAATCACTTGGGTCCACTTCTTCCCTTTGTGTTCGCTCCCTCCGCTGATTGGCTTAAAACCGTGGCCAGTTTCCTGTCGCTAGTTCCATCTCCATAGCTCATCCATTTTGTATCTTTCCTCATTCCTGCTCGTTTGCTTCGTTCATTAAAGAATGCAGAGAGACCAAAGCACTGAAAATTAAGACTTCATCTCGTACCAGTTCTTGTCTTTTACAATTTTTGTGTTAAACTAAGTAGCTGAGTATGATATCCGGTATTTTAAAACCTCTTTGGAATTTTCCAATTTTAATGTTGTAAACAAAATTCAATCTAATAAGTCCTTAAGATTTGGAGATGACTTTTAAGATGAAACGCTTCGTCCTGCAACCCATTGCTAGAATAACTTCAAGAAATTTTCTCTTTGTTCTTGTTGTAGTCAAGAAGCAGTTCACCTTAGTGTTAATTATGTCTAACTCCTAACCCAAACTATCTCTTGTTTATTCCAGACACATCGTTGTCTGTGGCCACATCACGTACGACAGCGTGTCCAACTTCCTCAAGGATTTCCTCCACATAGACCGGGACGTAGTCAACGTGAACATCGTACTGCTAGACACGTAAGTACCTCAAAAACAGCCTTACTTTCCATATTGTAAATTGGTTTACTTCCGCCAGTTTTCCAGATTAAGGGACGTTGCAAGTTGTTAGAGAAGTGCAGTCACATCTGGTCTAACCTCATCACCAATTATGGTGCACTCGCCGAATAAGATGTGTGAAAATGATAGTTTATCTGCAAGGATGTTTCGACATTGGTAGAGTTGCAGTTGTTGGGCGGTGGGTCAGGGGCTACGTTAGGGGAGGAGAAGCAGTCACGTATTTATATTGTGCACTTCAGTACCAATAGACTCTTACTGCACCTTACCCTTTATTATGCCCACTCACTGGGCCCAGAAATATTTCCCATGAACCATCTCAACCCCTTGGAGGGGTGTATAAATTATGGGTGCCACCACTTGAGGTGCTACTAGGTATCAATTACACCCTCTGTCCTCAAAGATGGGTGGAGAGAGGCTGGTGAGGGTAAAGTAGGTAACCTACCCAAGGTCACTATTTAGGCCCCAGTCCAGTATTTGAACCCAACCCTACTATCCGGACTGTAACCACGGCAATACTGCTATAACCACTTTGAATAATGATCGTTACTCTGTGCTCCAGAACCTTTAAATATTGTCAACTGTTGTACTGGCCCACTGTTGGCAAGGAGTAGTCGCGACTCCACATTGTACACTGAACCGTTTCTCCCAGCCAGAGTTCCCATGTTCATAATACTACTGAGGTCTGTACATGCATCATGAACGTGCCCTGTGATCAATTGTAAAAGCTCACATACAGTATATGGATTGACACCATAACACCAAGTGTTGTGAACAAGTTTCATCTGAATGTGCACAGCAGACTTGCCGTTATATTTGGGTAGGTGCCAGGTGCCCAGTTCAAGTGTCGGTTGTAAAATGTCTCTTTTTTTCACCATTGACGGTTGCTGTCACCAGCCAATGTAGTCTGTCAAGCTGGTGTTGACCACTATCTCAGGTTTCAAGGGATTGGAAGAGATGAGAATTATTTGGCTTATGATGGGATGCTAGTCCATTGAATGTTTCTCTTTATTCAAGTGTGCTTTGAGTCAAAGACCAGAGAGTCCTCATGTACATGTTCAAGACAGCTAGGTAATAGCCATAGCACTCTCCTTGTTTCTTAATTTTTTAGTGGGTGCTACATGCAGTTTCCATGGTGATATGTCCTGATCACTGTAGTCTCGATATAATCAAGTGTTTGATGTACGTGTTTAAAACACCGTACCAGTTTATGGTAGAGGTGAATATTAAAGTTGACCAAACATCAGAAGATCTGGTACTGTATTAAGCTGTGTCCAAAAAACTGGCTATGGCAAGCAGTAGTGCTTATGTCTGTGACTAGTGGCTACAGCCACCAGCCTATGGCTTTTGTAGGTGCACTTGTTATTTGTAGCCTCAGCCACAATATTTGGATGCCAGCATAGATGGAGGCAGTGTTATGGCTATAGCAGTTTAATTTGAGCCTCACCTTGTCAGTTTTGGCCAGATTAAAATTGTGCTATTCCCTGGTCACTATACTGGCCATAAAGACGACATCATCCGGCTTTGATAAACCCCTCTTGCAATTAGTTGGTATTAACTGGGGGTGTTTGAGCCTAACCCAAGCAACACCGGACTTCGTCTGTCAGCTCTGGCAGTCAAGTATAATCCCTGCGATCATCAAACACATAGGCTGTTTGTCCCCCTCTGGTTAATTTATAACCCATAAATTATGAGGTGGCTTGTGACAGGAGATCCTCAAGTCAAAATATAAATATTTGTCTGTACATGTCCTGGGGGGAGGGGAGACAGATCCCTGGCTGTAATGAATGCGTAATGTTCTGATGACACGTGCCTGCCTGCTCTCATAAAGGGGCCGGAATGAAACAAGCGGGTGCATGATTGGAAAAAATGAGATGTCTTTTTTCTTCATTTCAAAGCGACCAGTGGTTTCTGCCGCAGTCACAGCAATGCAAGCCTGCAGTCTGCCAGACCGTGGTTAGTTATTTGTATCCATAAAATTTCATAACAGTTCTGAGACATTGACGATGAACTAGATTTGTTTACATGTATGTAGACAGCCTCTGTGTGGCTAACTTCAGGACTTAAACAGCTGCGGTGAAGAGCAGATGCACTCAGGAGATTGTTCGCAGGGTTCTACCTATCTGTCCTCCATCGTTGAAAAGTTCACTGAACTGACACTGAGCAATGCATTGCCTTTGGGGACTTTCACCTCTTCTTATTTTTGGCGGGGCATTCCCTACATGGTGCAGTCACAATTTGCGAACATTTCGCGGTCTGCCGACCAGCGTGCTTACCCGTGTGACATGCACTGTGGTGAAAAATGCATAATTCAATTTCTCTTTGTTGGACAACCAATGCTTGTCGGCCGGGATCTACTGCATAAAGAGGGGCTACCCATATTGCTTTAGTAAGAGCTGTGCATCTTATGTATTCCTGGGCCTTCGGTTATGTGGGTAGTCATACGTGTCTGTAAGCTTTTTTGCTCAGTGTACACGAATGAGCAAGGCTGTACCCTTTTAGTATAATGAGTCAATTAAATTCGATTTTTTGAGCTGCTGAAGAAATTAAGACTTTGGGGGGGGGACAGAAAGTGTGGTATTGGATGACCCTTCGCAATTAACCTCCCCCCAATCAATCTCAACCTCCAGTCCCCTTAAGTCTTCCTCAGCAGATCTCCTAAGAATTAACTGGCCAAGTGGGATGTTAGAAATGAAGTGGTGATGCTTCATTTGCCAGTGGCAATAGGGGAACGTTTTACTTGGGTTTCTGAAATCATGAATTTCATAAGTGTGAGGTACAACTGGACTCCTTGTGCTTAAACTTGCTACAAACAGTGCAAATGGAAAAGACGGTGGAGTGAAATGATACTCATTTCAAACATATCCTAAGATGTAAAAAAGGGGGGGAAATTGTACGGAACACTCCACCCCCCACACACAATATATTTCATTTTAATCGAAATTTTTCCTGTGGTATTTATTCTTTTGTAAAAATTGTCTGCAAATTGTATTGTGTATTATAATGAATTTGGCGAAAAGACTGCAGGCAGAGGTAACATGGGTGAAGAGGTAAAATATGCTTTGAATTATTAATATTTGTGCTGCACAAAAGCAATATTAGCAAGTGGTCTGATGATTTATGAAAAGCAGTTTGGATTTATGAAAGAGAAGATAAAAGAAATGATAACTATTTTAATCTGCTGAAGTTAATGCACTTAGATGAGGAGAAAATACTTCTTCTTTCAAAGCTTAATGGTCTAATATGTTAGTAAATTTCTATATTTGGAGCTGCTTCTTTTAAAAGAGTACTTAGAAATCTAAAGCCTTTTGGTTGCATTATTCTGTTAATGCTGTTGATTTTGATAATCCTTTTTGATGTACATCTGCAAACACTGCTCTGACCTGTTTTTCTTTGAGGTACTGGAAAAATTTGCTTATTTATTTATTCATTGTTAACACAAAAATATCTAAAGACATCTGAAAAACAAGATGAAAAGAAGTCAACACGATTTCGTCATTTGTATTTGCAATAATTATTGCTTTGGATTTCTGAGCTCCTGTGTTTGGTGAAGAATGATTCTGAAAAGCACCAAAATGGGAGGAAGACTTGAAATCTTCTGACCCCCCGGAGTTGCAATTTTCCCGCAGATGTGTCGCTCATTGTTGGGCATCAGCAGAAGAGCAAGGTCTCTATTATTTCCCTGTCAATTTGTTTGACTCGTCCTGCGACCCGAGATCCTTGACTCGGAGCAATTTGCTTTGATGTGCTGTACACAAACATGCCGCACTGATGAAGATTTGATTGAATAAAAACCACCACGCATGCAGAGACAGAGATGATGAAGGGGGGGGGAGAATGATGTTGGAAAAACGTTAAAGGAAGGACCAAAATTAGCACCATCAGACTTACCAGCTGCCTATTGCACCGGGCAAATTATGTTAACTATTAGACAACTGTGAGGGGAAGATGTGTATGCAGTCACCAACAGAAGCAGTTGCCTCTGCAGCCAGACACGGTACACATTCAGCATTTACATGCAGCTTTGCCACATACAATTGACAGTTTAAAGCACCCTTCTGAAAGTGGATGTATAGCAAGGTATCATTTACTGTTAATTTAAAAAGGTAAATAGTGAAATAGAGTCATGCCTTGACGAGTGCAGCTTGAACGCTGAATGCCATGCCAGAAAACAAACAAACTGAAGGACATAGTGGCATTAATGGGAAAACACAGGCAAGGGACCAATGAAAACCTTTATTTACAGACACAAAACAAGCATAAAAGAGTATGCGCATTAATTGCCAATTACAGTTCTGAGATTTAATAATAGCTTCAGTTTACATTTGAAGGTGCCGAGTGAAGGGGCATGTCTGATGGTACAAGGCAGCATCCAAAGAATTCAACTTGAAGCACCATTATAAGCAAGGGCATTATAATAAATAAATAATGGCAAAAACATAGAAAATCTCCATTGGTATTGCAGCTGACGTGATTCTAGTAGAATATTTATGCATTTCCTGTCACTAGGTTCAGATTGTGAAGACTCTTTTGCCGGGCCATCATTTCCCTCTGATTTCTCTCTGCATCAGTTATCCCGAAATCACCGGTTTGGGCAGCTTTTACTCAATAAACATTGAGTTCTCTGTAGCTGTTGGCCACTTGGAAGTTCAAGTAGTACCAATTTCTTCCCCAATTTGTTTGTAAATGAAGTCCCAAAACTAAGGATTGAGTTACCAGAAAAAAATTCTGCGGCAGTAATTCCTTTCAATTTATTAAAAGGACATTGCCATATTCTTTCCCTGTTTTGTTTTTCCTTTCATCTATACAATCAGGAAATCAACCTTTGGAAAAACAAAAAATCAAGGGAGCTTTAACTAAAAAACATTCTGGGCTTGATGGTGGAGATTTGTCCCAACATGAAGTATTTTCCCAAACAGATGGCCCGGTAGCAAAATGTCAACATTGGGAAAGTGCTCTCTGTA